AATCAATTCGTATTAGAAAGTTCTACTAGAATTAACTTATTTGAATACAAAAATAAATAATTTATTGAATAATTAAATATTTCTTAACTTTGAATTCTTATAAAGAACTTTATCAACATTTTTTCAAATAATTGAATTTTTACAAAGAATTGCATTAAAATTATTGACAACAATCAAATTCAATCAAGAAACGTAATTAAAAATGAATTGAAAATAATTATTCAACTCTAAGAAACAAATTAAAACAAATTTTTTTTTAATAATTGAAATGTTTCGAAGAATTTTATTAAAATTTTTAAGAATAATTGCGTTTTTAGCGGAATAAATTAAAAATTATATAAAAAATAATTGAAATTCTGCGATGAGTTTTATTATTTATGAAAATAATTGCATTTTTGTCACTGAACTTTAAAAAAGTTTTTAAAATAATTGCATTCTTAAGAAGAATTAAAAAAAAATCTTTTTAATGAAATGAGTATTTAAAAAATTTTATGAAAATTGTGTTTTAAATAATTGAATTTCATTATAAATTGTATATTATTTATGAAAATAAATGAATTCTTTCAAAAAATTATATTAAAATTACATTGAAAACAATTCAATTATTAATAAAGAATTTAATAAAAAATTTTTTAAATAATTGAATATTTTCAAAGAATTTTATTAAAATTTTTAAGAATTCTTGCGCAGAATTTTATGAAAATCAATTTAAGGGCATTTGAACCATTATGACGTCACAATTTGTGCAAAGCACGTGTTCTAAAATTGTGACGTCATAATGGTTCAAATACCCTTAAATAATAGGTTTTTTTCAAAAAATTTTATCAAAATTCTGTTTTAAATAATTTCATTCCAGTGAAATTTTTATTATTTATAAAAATAATTTAAAGTTTGCGTAGAATAAGTATTATTAAAATTTTTGAAATTGAATTTCAGAGATAAAAATTATAAATTATAAAAATAATTGAATTCTTGCAACGATTATTATTAAAATTTTAAAAAATAATTAAATTCATGAGAAGAATTTTATTATTTATAAAATTTAATTTTTTCGAAGAATTTTCTAAAAATCTATTTAAAATTTAAATAATTGATATCTATTTTTCGAAAAATTTTAGGAAAATTCTTTTTTAAATAATTGAATTCCTGTGATGAATTTTGGTTATTTATGAAAATAATTGAATTTTGCAAAGAATTTTATGAAAATTTTAAAAAATAATTGAATTTTTGTGAAGAATTCCAATACTTTTACAAATAATTGGATTTTTGTGATGAATTTTGGTTTTTTATGAAAATAATTGAATTTTGCGAAGAATTTTATTTAAATTCTTTTAAATAATTGATTTTATGTGAAAAATCATTTTTTTCTTGAAATTTATAAGTAAAATTATTTAAAACTTTAATCATTTTATTTTATTCAATTCTAAATCAATTCTTATTAGAAATTTCTACTAGAATTAAATTATTTGAATACAAAAATAAATAATTTATTGAATAATAAAATATTTCTCAACTTTGAATTCTTATAAAGAACTTTATTAACATTTTTTCAAATAATAGAATTTTAGCTACTTATATGAAAATAATTTAATTTTGCAAGAAATTTTCTTAAAATTTTTAAAAATTATTGAATTTTGCGAAGGATTTTATTAAAATTCCTTAAAATAATTGATTTTATGTGCGGAAAACTTTGTTGTTTATCAAGATAATTGAATTCTTCTGCAGAATTACTTAAAAATTTTTTTAAATAATTAATTTCCTGTGACGAATGAAAAGTTATTAATGAAAATAATTGAATTATTGCAACGAATTTTATTAAGTTTATTGAATAATGGAATGTTTCTTAAATTTGAATTTATTTGAATCTTAAATTGTATAATAATTGAATTGAATTTGGAAATAATTGAATTAAAATTTTAATAATTTTATTAAATAATAAAGAATTTTATTGAGTTTGTAAATAATTGAATTAAATTACAAAAATTACAAATAATTGAATTGAATTTGTAAATAATTGAAATAAGTAACAAAAAATTGAATTGAATTTGTAAATAATTAAATTAAATTACAAATAATTGAATTGAATTTGTAAATAATTGAAATAATTAACAAATAATTAAATTGAATTGTAAATAATTGAATTGAACTTGGAAATAATTGAATTAAAATATAAATAATTGCATTAAATTATAAATAATTTAATTGAATTAGTAAATAATTGATTTAAGTAACAAATAATTGAATTGAATTTGGAAATAATTTAATTATGTACCAAATAATTGAATGGAATTTGAAAATACATGAATTAAATTTATTAATAAACGAATTGAATTTGCAAATAATTGATTTAAATTGTCTAATAATTGAATTGAATTTATAAATAATGGAATTAAAATTTAAAAACGTGTATAAAATAACAAATAATTGAATTGAGTTGTAGAGAATTGAAGTAATTGTTATAATTGTAATCTAGCTATACATTTTTTTAAAATTGCATTTTTAATTTCTTTTGACTGACTACAATTGCAATGCATATATATATTGTAGAAAGTTTATCGAGCCCTTTTTGGTTTTCAGTTTTCACCTTGTGACCTATAAAATTACAGTGAGACGTGTCAGAACTTGTCAGGTTTCGTCAAGAAATTAGAAATGGATGAGGGCAAAGTTAATATTTCTAAAAGATCCTTTCGCACGATTCCTCGTGTTCTATTCTTAAAAGCAAAGTGTCAAATATTTAATTCCATCTCATCTAAGAAGACAAGTATATTGACTTAAAAATAGAGAAACCGATCACGAAGTTGCTTTAGTCACGTACAGACATATTATGTATACCGCATACCATTGCAGATTGTAACAAACTGATTATATTATGTAGGCATTATTATTATTATTATTATTATTACTATATCATTATGACTATATCATTATGACTATCAATTTTCAAACGAGATGCTCTTCGTTCACTTTCTGTGAAAAATTACTTTTTTAATAAACTGCGTTCTAAAAATAGAGAGTATGCATTTCAAAGCTATCGATTTCATTTGTAATTGCAGTTCGAATTGGAAGAAAATATATTCATTATGAAATGTAAATTTTAATTTGTTCTTTTAAATTACCCTGTTTGTGATAAATAAATAAATAAATAAATAAATTGTAAATAGATATAATAAATAACTCTATTCGCTTCATTTCGTTTGTGAGCGAATTTTCATGAACTATAGATATGGAAATTTAATGAATTTCCCTTCATTGGCACGGAATTTAAAAAAGGAAATAAATAATAAATATTAATATTAATAATAATTATTATAAATTAATTAATAATATTAATTTTCAAAATTCAAGTTAATGGACTTGGACTTTTTTCAAAATTGTTTATATTCGCTTAAAACTTATTGTTACTCGAGATTTTTCAGAGTTGCCATTTTGAATTTCGAAAATCTGACTTTAGATTTGTAATCAGTGACCCCAAAAAACCCCCGAGCAACAAGTTTCAATAAAATTACAATATAATTCAATTATTTGTTAATTATTTCAATTATTTACAAATTCAGTTCAATTATTTGTTAATTATTTCAATTATTTACAAATTCAATTCAATTATTTGTTAATTATTTCAATTATTTACAAATTCAATTCAATTATTTGTAATTTATAATTTAATTATTTACAAATTTAATTAAATTCTTAACAAATTTAATTAAATTTAATAATCAGCGTATATAAAATCTTGTATTAAAGTTTTTATACTAATTCCTATTTACAGAGGAAGTGAAGATCATTTTATAATAATAATAATAATTTTTTTGTCCGTTAAATTGAAAATATAAATTGTTTATATAGTGCTGCTATAAATTTGATTTTAATGATTCTATCGTTATATAATAGATGAATTCGGATCTTTATCACATTTTTTTCTCTATGTAGAAATTTATGAATGACTCCCCCTATCATTATCGATAATCTATAATATAAGCAACCCTCAAATTACCCGTGTACACCAACAAAAGCTCGTTGTCAATGGATTAACATCGTTATACTTCAACTAAGTCTATTGCCGTGCTTATAGAAACTCGAGCCAATGTAATTTATTATTATAAAATGTTTATCCATGATCGTCAATCGCTTTTCATATTAAATAATAGTTGAAGTATTCAATTTTCTATTAAAATACTTCTATTTAACTTAACACTGACATTTTTTTTTTATGAATAATTTTAGTAAAATTTGTGCTAAATTAATTCTTGATACCTTTCCTCCAAGCGAAAATTTTATATTTTTATACTGTAAACTTATTTATTATTTTATTGTTTAATTATTTTTTAAAGTTAGATATATTTTTTAATTATTTTTTTGAGATTAGATTTATTTTTTAATTATTTTTAAAAAAAACGAGAGGGGGATCAAAATTTCACGAAAAGAATATTCAATTTTTATTTTTTTTTACATTTATGTGAAAAATTTCAAAAGTTGAACGAATCGATTTAACAGCTTCTGCATTTAATAGTTTTGAAGAATGACATATTTAGGCTGTGTCTGTTATATTCTTATATTGACCCATAGGAATGAGTCAATAATTTAATTGGCATATAGGGGTTATATGTTTAATGAAGGTTTGACAATAAAATTTGACCTCAAATGCGGGACCTTATAGTTTCGAAAAAAAGAAACAAAAATTGAATTCACTTTAAATCAATTCAACATTAATTTTATTCTCTCTCAATGGGAGTATAGAAGAAAATTTAAAATTTACTCTTAATAAAAAAAAAATATAATTTACACGGTGAAAAAAAAAATTTTTAATAAATTATATAAAATATAATTTATAAAAATAATTATAATAATTAACTATTATTTCGTGAATAAATAAATAAATAAATTATTATTGTTAACTAATAATAATAGTTAGTAATAATAATTAATAGTTTTGTACTTATTTATTATGAAATAAATATTCTTGTTTGTATATTTTCAAAAAAAATTTATCATTTTCTTTTCAGTAATGTTGGAACAACGTCTTGGCGTCGAGGACAAGAGTCACAGCGTTCCACCCCAAGTCCACGACGTTATCGAGATTTGGATGTCCCTGTACCTCACACTGCACCTGTTTCTGTAAGTTTTATACCACATTATACAATTCTTTTTTATCCCTTTTTATTATTTTCTGTATTTTATTTTTTTCACGATTTCAAAATAAACTGAGATTTTTCTTCACTACATTTTAAATTAGTTGATAAAAATACAATTATTAGTTTTATATTGCATGACTATTAAAATTATTTTTAATAAAATAAATTAAATAAGAAAAATCATAGTAGAAAAATATTACTACTTAATTATAAAAACACTAGTGAAAAATATTAGTACTTATGAAAACACTAGAAGAAAAATATTAGTGCTTATATAAAAATACTAATAGAAAAATATTAGTGTTTATAAAATTCCATCAGGTAGTAGAAAAACAAATAAAAACAGTATTAAATTTACTTAAAGGTTTTTCGACTTGAAAATTCGAATTGTTTTGATGTTAACAGTGGAAATAAAAAAATTATTTTACAAAATTTTCATAAAGTTATTGGAAAAAATTCAAAAAATTTTAATAAAATTCTTTAAAACGATACAATTATTATTTTCACAAATTTTTCGCATAATTCAATGATTTTTAATATCTACTATTTTAATAAAAAATTTCCCAAAAGAATTGAATAATTAAAAAAAAAAAATGTTTATTAAATTCTCCGCAAACATTCAATTATTTTCATGAATAAAAAAAATTTGCACAGAAATTCAATTATTTAAAAAAGAAGTTTGAAAAATCAATTATTTAAATAGATTTTTATAAAATTCTTCGCAAGAATTCAATTATTTTTATAAATAATAAAATTCCTCTCAGGAATTCAACTATTTTTATAAATATTAAAACTCATCGAAGGATTTCAATTATTTTTAGTACAATTTTAAATGAATTCCGCGAAAAATTTTATAAAAATCTATTTAAATAATTGATTTTTCAAACTTCAGTTTTAAATAATTGAATTTCTGTGAAAATTTTTTTATTTACGCCTCAAAATAATTGAATGTTTGCGAAGAATTTTATAAACATTTTTTTTCTAATTATTCAATTCTTTTGGAAAATTTTTTATTGCGAAAAAGTAGACATTAAAAATCATTGAATTACGAAAAATTTGTGAAAATAATTGAATTTTTTTAAAGAATTTTTCATAAATCATAAAATTTATCGTAGAATTTTCTAATAAGAATTGATTTAGAATTTAATAATATAAAATGATTAAAGTTTTGAATAATTTTATTTATAAATTTAAAGAAAAAAATGAATGAATTTTGAAAGAATTTCTTTTGTAAGCTTTTTTTTGCTACTTTTTTAAAAATAATTATCGAATACAAAGCCTGAAATTAACATTATTCTTTATTAATTTCCAAGTGCAAAAAAAATTATATCAATTTTTTGAAAAAAAAAAATAATGAAAAGAAATAGTAAAAAGAAAAAAAAAATTGTTTGCTTTCGATAAACAGAAAATTTGTCTTCAAAATAAGTTAATATGCAATTTTAACTTTTATATATTTATTTAATTAAAAACAAAATTGTAGAATATAAACGTTGATAAAATAAGATGAAATTTTGACGTTCATTAGAGAAAATTTCATTTTCGTGTTATTCTCACCAGATTATTATATTGAAAAGCAACTTTTGCTTTCATTAGACATCAAAGAACGTAAACTCAATTTAAGTACTCGCTTAATTACGCGTCACCTGATATGCAATCTCTCGTATAAAATTACAGTGTCAAGAAGTTATAACCATGATTTACAGTCACGGTCAGATTGTAAATCGAAATTCCTCTTTCATAATATATTTTAATAAATCCTCATATAACTGTCATCATTTTTGAATATTACAAAATTTCGCATTATTACGACATTCATGTATAATAAAGTTTGCAATATCGAGCGAGAAATTATTAATTATTATGGTCATCAAATGTTTCATAAATTTTCCGCGCGATTATCAATATGTTTTAAAAAGCTTCTGAATGATTTTTTAAAATCAATAAAATATTAATAAAACATTTTTAATATTTTCTGTATTTTTTTCGAAAAAAAATTCAAATATTGTGTAAATAAATATTGATTCCAAAGATTTAATTTATTTTCGCTAGTTTCTATGTCTCCACCGCAAGCTTAACTTTATAAATTAAGAAATAAGAAAATTCAGCGTGAAAATGGAAAGAGAGTTTAAATTTAAATTATTCTCTTAATAATTTAAAATTCAACTCCATTACCAATGCCGAAGAATTATAGTTTTTATCTCTAATTTAAATTTTATCTGATTAGAAATTCTCACCGCGTTGGGAAAATATTATGAAATTCAGTCGGTTTATGTCAGATTTGATAGAAAATAATCTCGAATATTTATGTAATTTGTAGCCGCGAACTAATTTCAACAAAATAAATCACTGAAATCTTTTGTTTTACGCGATTTTTTTTAAAGAAAATAAGAAAATTTATTGTTAGAATTTTTCAATTTTCATTGCTTTAAAAATTCTGGATAAAATTCCTTAATTCTTTTTCTAACGAAAATATATTTTTTCCAAAAATTAAAAAAAAATTTTCCTATGAAAATTGTTAATAATTATTCCAGAGTAGAGTTTATAAAATTAATAGACATCAAAAATGTCACTTGCAGAAGAGCAGCAAAAATTAAAAGTTTTCAAAAGTTGTTAAAATAATAATTTAATTTTCGTAAAGTTTTCTCTTATTCGATAATTTATAATTTAATTTTAACTTTGTTTATTGAAATAGTTTGGAAAAAAAATGTTGAAGGACTTTTTTTTGAATATGGGTTAAGGCAATATTCATGTTTCTAAATGTACCGGTAAAAGCGACTACAAGCGCAATTTAAATTAACGGTTTAGAATCACAACAATAATGTACGTTCATTTCATGATGAAGATGATGCGTTTGAAACGCTTCGAACAACGGATGATTTACACTAAATGTCCTCTGCATGTTTAACCTGAGAGGGAAAGCAAATGACGAACTTTCGTCAACAAAAGCAAATTGACTACTAACTAAACTGTTCAAATTTCACAAAGTGCTTAATAAAAACTATACAAATTTTTATTATTTTTCTGCTTTTTTTTAATTTAATTTTTTTTTCGTACTTCAAAATTTTTTAATTCTTTCCAATTTAATTTATTTTTAATTTAAAAATTCTTAAATTCTTTCTAATTTAATACTTTTTCGAATTTAATAATACTTTTTCTTAAATCATTTAAAGGATTTAAGACTTAATATTTTTTCTAATTTAAGAATTCTTAAATTCTTTTTAATTTAAAATTTGTTTTTACTTTTACATTTTTGTTAGTTTAAACTATTTTCCTAAGTGAGATTTTAAACGATCATTTATTTAGTAAACAAATTAATTCTAAGACCGAAGATAAACGTAAAAAATTAGACAATAAGAGAATCAAATTAATTTGAATTCAAAATTTAAATCCAAAATTGGTTTTAAATTTTGAATTTACATTAATTTGATATTCTTTATAATTATTTAGATTCAATATACGATTGTAAATAATAAAATTAAGATTATTTACGAATATCTCGAGATTCAATATGGAGCGGCTACTCTCCACCTGCGAACGCCAAGGTCACCGCTAGATGGCAGTTCAGTTCCTTCTTGGAATTTTCACTGCCATCTGGTGGCGACCTTGACGTTCTCAAGTGGAGAAATCGGCCATTTTATTTCCGAAGAACTTTTTTATAATCAAAAACAATTGTTATTGTAAAAATAATTCAATTTCTCTTTCCTCGAACAAAAATTATGTTTCATTAATAAAAATTTTGATAAGATTTAATATTAAAATAAGTTAAAACAAATTAAATAAAAAATAAATTTTTGTGATTCATGAAACATTTTAATACCCCTGAAGAATATTTCTTTTTCATAAAATTAGAATTACTTGAAAAAAAGCCCTAAGCTCAAGACTTCAAAAAAAAAAAAAAGAATAAAAAAGTTTCAAGTGTTCTTGTTGAAACAGTGGCAATTAAAAGGGCGTCTGAATCTGAAGCAAGTTTTAGCTTTTACTTCAAGTCAAGACAATGAAGGTACTTTCGATGTTAAAAAAACTCTTGACCCCAGAGTTGTAATCTCGAAGTTTAAGAAAAAAAATTTCATTTAAAAAATATTTCCGACGTATAAATAAAATATTTTCTGAATTATAAAAATTTTATTACACAATCATAAAGTTAACATTATTTCTGTTTAAAAAAAATAAATTTGTTTTCTCACCTGCTGGCCGAGGGAAATATTTATTTAATTGTAGATAATAATGAATTCACGATAAGTAATTGTAAGGAAAGTGAATAATAATTATTAATAATAAAAAATAATAAAAATTAATAATTAATAATTAATAATAATAAATAATAGCTAATATTAAATAATAACTAATAATTTAGGAGATAAATTAAGAGAGAAAGTAAAGAGTAGGAACTAGGAAGTGATAGTTTGGAAACGAATTGTAAAATAATAATTAATAGTAATTAACAATAAATATAATCACTAATAATGAACAGTAAATAATAATTTATTAAATAGTAATTAATATTAATTAATTAAATAGTAATTAATATTAATTAATTAAATAGTAATTAATATTAATTAATATTAATTGTTAATCGCTAATAATAAGAAATAGTTAATAATCATGACAATAAATAATTAATAATAAAACATATTTATTACTAATTGTTGATAATAAAAAATAATTAATAATAAAAAATATAAATTATTTATTATTAATAACAATTATTATTATTATCAATAAAAAAATTATTCATTTTATTGATAAATGAAAAAATTGCTGTTTCATTATCATTAAAAAGAAAAACTACTTTTTTTGTTTTGGAGGAGGAAAAATTTGCTGTCCCATCTTTTAATGATAGTGTAATTATTTGTCTTTTTTTTTTGTTTTTGTAGCCTCAACATGAACCGCACGTGACTGCCTATGGCAAGGACCGCAGACGAGCCTTTGGTAAAAACCAACGACGTGTTAAAGCCTCTAGTACCCCAGCTCTTCTTGACCGGGACGATGACGGGTAAGAGGATTTCATTCATAAAACATTTATGACTCTACACTTTTAGTCAATATCTCACTTAGATCACAATCTTTCACAAGCAAAGCGCAAAATCCCATTGGAGATCATATTTTGCAAGGAAAAAATAAAATCTTTTATTTTCAAAGGAACAAATTCAAAAATATTTTTTTTGTTCTCTAGAATATTATATGTTCACATAATTTATTATTTTTTAAATTTCTTATTTACTTTAAAATTTATTATTAAATTATTTAAATTATCATTATTTATTTATTATTTTAATTTTTAAATAATATTTTTTTTTATCGAATACTTGTTTATTAATTATTACAATATTTATTAAAATATTAATTTTGATGGTAATTTCAATTTTTGTTGTAATATTAATTGCAATATTAATTACAATTTACAATACTATTTGACACTATTAAGGGCATTTGAACCATTATGACGTCACAATGGGTGCAAAGCATGAGTTTTGACATTGTGACGTCATAATGGTTCAAATGCCCTTAATGACAATATTAATTAACAATAATATTAATTCTAATAATTATTAGAAAATTAATAACAATGTGAATTACAATATTAATTGTAATATTAAGAACAATATTAAGAACAATATTAAGTAAAATAAAATATTAAAAAATAAAAATATTAAAAAATAAAAGTTAAAATATTAACTATAATATTACGTATAAATAAATTAATAGCAATAATATTAATTATATTATTTATTAGTAATAGGAATTACAATAGTAATTAACAGGATTAAAATTGAAAAATTAATTACAATATTATTTGCAATTTAATTATTCATTTTAATATCTATTAATTACAACAATAATTATAATAATAATTAATATTGTTCATTAGAAGATTGTAGATTAATAATTAACAATGATAATTAAATAACAGTAAAAATTTGTTGGCGGCGGGAATCGAACGCAATATCCTCATGTTCCCAGTGAAGTACTCTACCCACTGAGCTATTTAATTTTTTCTAATTTCTAAAAATTGAAACACATTTTCTTAACTATTTTTAACTTTTCTGATACATTTGAATTCATTATCTTGAATTTTATTGTTATGTTTAGATTTGAATTCGAGGCCCTTCGAAGATTTTCAATCAATATAAATTTATTATTATTTATTTATTATTATTTTATTAAATTAAATTTAATTATTAAATTTATTTAATTTATAATTTTTTTTTGTTCCTGATGATGAACAGTTTTTCGAATACCTTTTTTTCAAATGTAACTCAGAAATTCAATATAACAATAAAAATTTAATTTAAAAAAAAAATTAAAAGAAATTAAATTTACTTTGAAAATAAATAATTAAATAAATAAGATATGAATTTTCAACAGAAATATTCTGTGATATACTATCAATGTTATATTTCAAATGTAAATTTGTTTTCCATTAAAAATTACATCCATTTACTTGATAGAGAGTACTAACTGTGAAATAGAAATTCTTTAAATTAAAAATCCTTTTTCTATTTTTTTTTTTTTTTTTTAATCTAAATCTATTGATTGGAAATCTTCGAAGGGCTTAGAATTGAAATCTTAACATAACAATGACACATTGATCCTGTGCTTTCTTGAGCCACTCCTGCGTGATATGGGAAAAAAATAAATCATCTCTGGATGATGCCTCAAGGTCGATGCGAAAGGCTCATCTTCTCCAAAATGTATTTTTTAAGCGTGAAGCTATTTAGAATTTTAGACGCGTAGGGATAACTTATATGTATTGGAATTTCACCCTCGTTTAGAGATGATTAGTATGATTAGTGTTTCTTTAGATAGTTATTAATTGTACGCTATTTATCAATATGGATATAGATTTTTTGTTCTATTTATCAATTTTTATTTTCTTCTTATTATTTTTTTATTATTTTTTTTTTTATTGTATTTTATGTATTTAATTTATTTATTTATTTTTATTAGTAATAATTTTTCTTTTATTTTATTTTCTTTTTGTTTTTTTATTTATTCATTATCTTTTTGTTTTGGCCTCAATTTTAATTTATTTTTAATTGTTTGTAATTTTCATTTAATTATTTATTTATATTTATTTGTCATTTTTGTTTATTTATTTATTTATTTTTATTAGTACTACTTTTCCTTTTATTTTATTTTCTTTTAGTTTTTTTATTTATTCATTACCTTTTTGTTTTGGTCTCAACTTTAATTTATTTTTAATTGTTTGTAATTTTCATTTCATTATTTATTTTTATTTATTTGTCATTTTCGTTTATTTATTTATTTATTTTTATTAGTACTACTTTTCCTTTTATTTTCTTTTAGTTTTTTTATTTATTAATTTTCTTTTTGTTTTTGTCTGAAATTTAATTTATTTTTAATTGTTTGTAATTTTTATTTATTTATAGTTATTTATCATTTTCGTTATTTATTTGATGTTTGTTTCATTTTTATTTATTACTGTTTATTTCATTTTTATTTATTACTGTTTATTTCATGTTTTTTATAGTTATAATTTTTTTTTATTTATTGTTTATTATACTTTACTTATTATATTGTTATTTATTTATATTTCATATTTTTATTATTGCATTTCTCATAGAGGAAGGATTTTATTTTTTTTTTTTTTGGTTGAAAAATAAATTAAAACTATGAAAAAATGGGGGGTCAACTCTACTGGGGATCGAAACCCGGGACCTATCAATTGTCGGTTGATTGCTCTTCCACTGAGCTACAGAGGTTCCAACAAATTTTCTGTTTTATCGCCTCAATAGTCCAGATGTTTGAAAAAAAATATTTTTTTCTATTTATTATTTATACATAATTATTTATTTACTGCTTGTTAAATTTTTGTTTTCTACTTACTATTTGCAATTTAAAAAAAAGAACAAAAAGTGAAATCACTTCTTGTTTTTTCTTATCATTTTTCGTTTTGTTTATAATTTTATTTCATACTTAAAAAATAATTTTTTAAAAGCATATATACAATTTTTAAATTTAAATTAAAATTTTTTTCTTCATAATATTCTATTTAAATTTAAATTAAAATTTTTTTCTTGATAATTCTTTTTAAAAAAATTCTTTTTCTTTATCAAAAAGAAAAGAAAAGAAAATTAAAAATAATTTTTTAAATAATTTTTTTTTTTTGATAATTAGAGCAAAAAGATTTTTTCTCTTTGATTTTTATTCAGTTTTTGTTATCTGCTCGTAATAATTATTATTGTATGATATCGTATACAAAAAATAATCCAGAATAAAGTTAGAAAAGAATAAGTCAAGCATAGTTGACCTCTTTTTTTTTTACCTTTCAGTCTTTAGCTTCTGTGTTCACTGATATACAGAGGTCATGCACCTGTCTTCTCTTTTGATGTCTAGTCTCTCCTTTTCGGGAAATAAGATTTCAGTTATTCAGATGAATTCAGAAATTAAATTAAACAAAAGGAAGATTTTTTTTTCCAATACCACATTTCAATTTAAATTCTTAATTGAATATCTCATTCTCACAGAAAATTGATAAAAATATAATTAAATTCCATTTTTCCTTTTATTTTATATTTTTTCCAAACTAAAGAATATTTTTTAAATATTTATTTATATTAATATTAATTTAATATTAATTCATATATTAATAATAATTCAAATATTAATAATTTTAAATATTTTAGAAAATTTTTAAATATTTTTTTGAAATTATTTTTTATAAATAATTTACAGTTTCAATTTTTGATCAATATCTTTTTTGATTATTAAATTTTTTCCCAAAAAAAAACCACTTAGTCAATAATAGTGATAAATTACTTTATTAAAAAAAACCAAAGAGGGTGAAATTCCAAACATAAATATTTAAATTTATTTTTCTAAAGTTCAATAGTTTCTGGAGCCGCAGCATCAATAAAATTTGATTGAGAGAAGAATATTAAGATCTTGAAAAAAAGAGGGGGGGGGATCTTTTTTTAACAATTTGAAAAATGTTTCTATTTTTTTTTTATGGGCACCTTTGGTGGCGACGGCTCAATTGATCTTTGGACACCAAGTAGTGTTTCTCGCAGGGGGGCAAACTCACCGGTGGTCAAAGATCCATCTATTTTCGACAACAATCTAAATAGATCTTATTTTCATGTAGTTATTTTCTTTTTTTCATTTTTTTTTTTTTTTGAGTCACTTTGAAATGGCAATATACCGACTCAAACGGGTGGTCCAAAAAAAAATTTCCTTCTTTTTCTGGGTAAAATTTGTTGTCGTACCTGTCGACTCGTTCTGGTTCAAACGAGCCGAAAGCGTTTTGTTGTATGTATATATGTATATTTTTACAACTTCGACGAAATTTCTCGCTCATCTTTTCCCTCCCCCGTTTTTAAACTGTCAACCGTGTGAAATGTTACTCAACATATATATTTAATTTGAATGCGCATGGAATTTTGCACCTATCAGAAGCGTGAAATTTTTTTTTCTGCATTTTTTTTATTCATTAATCATTTTTTCTCGTTACTTTGCATTTGTTTGTTACTTTTTTTTTTTTGTTATTTTGCACCAGAATAATTTATGCAAAAAAAAGTAACTTTGTACTTTTATTATTTTATTTTTATTTTATTTTTTTAATAACTAAATCCTTTTTTATTATAATTGAATAGTTTAATAATTAATAGTTATATTTTTAAAAAAGAAAACAAAAAAATAAATAGATTTGTCTAAAGTTTCTGCAATTTTTGCTACTCTGGGCGAAAAATTGCCGAATCTGTCCTCTTGACACTTCTTCTTAAATAAATGACAGAAATTTCACTAAAATAGTATTTCTTTTTATTTTAATAGAAAATTGTAAATTTGATGAATGTTTTTACTTGAAAAAAATCTAAATTATTCTCATAATAACATTTTCTTGATTATAAAAAAGTTTTTCAGAAATAAAATGGACGATTTCTCCACTTGAGAACGCCAAGGTCATCAACAGATGGCAGTAAAAATTCCAAGAAGTTACTGAACTGACATCTAGCGGTGACCTTGGCGTTCGCA